ACAAAGTGCTTGAGTTCAGAGGCAACAGAACAAAAATCTGCCACTGTTCTAGTTCTTACAGATTGCACTGAGTAAGTAAGTAAGGATGGAGAATACAAAAGCTGCAGGTCAGTTAGAATAACATATAAGATAACATATCTGCTAAGGAGAGGTCTATACCTGACCTGTTATGGTGTTATTGATCTGTATTGACCAAAGTTAGTGTTAATGACTTGCACTATGGCTGTAGCTGTAGCACAAGTCAATAACACTGCTCCATTGCCCATAATTAGTATTTTTGACAATGAAGTAAAAACTACTAGAAACATGCTTACCAATATAATCATCATCATCATCATCATCATCATAAATTTTATTCATCCTAATTAATTATCACAATACATCTGGATGATAAATATCACTAATGAATGATGGAGGGAGCAGGTGGCAATGACTAAGGTATGTTGCATTTTCCTCTTAGATATTCAGCCATATCTCAAATTCATCATGGCTTTAGTTAAAATGGCAGTCATTTTTGGTGATGTCAGGATGCTGGAACATCACAAGTGCCACTTACCCAAGGAAAAGGACATTCACAGTGTGCAACAGTTGGCAAAAGAGCACCAAATGGTTTTATAGTGAGCCATAAGTCAAACGTTCCTCGACACAATTCCTTTGAATTAGCACTTTCAAGTCAATCTTTAAGACATATATGCTGTTCTGTACTACTGTTATATAGTTACGGTGGTGACAGACTGAAGAGACTCACTAGACAGAATAAAAGAGAAAATCAATGAAGCATCTGAGTAATCTGCGCATGGAATGAAAGTTATTAAATGTGTGGAGTAAAAATGAATTCTGACTTGGAAAAGAACCTTTACAACTGCTTTCTTTCAAAAGTTGGCAATTCATACTCCATTGGCCATTGCTTTTTCAAAGCTATTATAAAATAGTGTAAATCATTACTTTAAATCATGGCAGATGAGATTTAAATTTAGAACAGAGAGATTGTGACTCTATGTCTCATTTAATGACATAATGACATCCAGATGAAGGAGAGATTACAGCAGAATACTTAATTTTTGAATCCAGTAATTCAGATATACAAGTATTAAATAAATAATTGTGTTTGATATATCTTTTGATATTTAAAGGATCTCTTGAACTCACTTTACTGATGAATCTTTCCATAGCTAACAGAAATAAGAAGGTGTAAGAAGTAAGAACTACATATAAGGGGGACTGTTTAGTCATAGCCATATACAGTACTGTTATGATGAAGGCATGAACTGACAGATTCAACTCACTGTAGAAATTCTAACAGAAAAAGGGATATGAGACCCAGAAACACAGGATGAGAGATGTGGAAGAGATTGCTCATCCTGATTTAGAGTATAAGTCCTGGGGGACAAGCTGGAGCTGTGCACCTGGGAGTGTAGCTCTCCTCGATAAACAAACAGACAGAGGACTCCTCTGATGAGTCTTCTGAAGAGGCAAGTTAGAAATCTGACTAGAGTGAGTATGCTCTCTGAGGACCAACAGCTGACCAAGATCTCCAAGAAAAAAAGAGACCTGGGACTCAAAACAGGATGAGCAACCCATCCTCACAGCCATCTCTCAATCTGGTGTTCATTGGTTAGCAATTCTAGGACACATGCTTTAAAAAGCTAAATCATTGTTTAAAAAAAAGATGCACAAATGAGAGTAGTGTCTTGCTGTTGTAAAATGTGAAAGGCCACAGATATAATAGCCTTTTTACATCATAAAATTATTTGATGATTATTAACATTTAATCTACATGGCTGATTCATGAAAGTTAAATATTTGAATAAATATGTATATTTGATCCAAATAACAGCTGACATTGTTTTTAACCAAATAATCACTCTACTACTGCTTTTTTAGGTTCATGCACTTAATTTTGAATCCAGGTTATATATTGTATTAGGTTTAAACTTTTCACATCCATAAATCCAGAACATCTAAGGATACCATATTTTCAAACTTTGATTATATAATGCTGCCATCTGCTGGACAATAAAGATCAAACTAGTTTACAAGCAAATTGACTTCAGTGCATTTACCTAATAAACATTTGTCTTCGGCCTTAAGTTGTGTGTACTTGTGGTTTCTTTTTAGCATATAACTCTATGTTGAACTTTACCAGGTCAGCTAGAGTAAATCTAGAACCACAGTCCTGGTGAACAGGCAGGACTACAAAAGTACAATATGCTGATTTTTATAAGCTTCAACTTATGTTTTTACAGTCTGAACTCTGGAACGCTCACTGAGGGTTCAAAAAATTATTTCTATAGCACTAGAAGGTAAAGTACATTGTGTAATGGTATAAAGTGATAATGGACTTTCAAAGATTAAGTATAAGAATACTTACTCTATGTAAGGAGTGCACTTCGCTAATAAAATCTCCTATAAAATAAACATGAATACCATACATTTGTAATGATGACCTTTACACTGAACTCTAGAGGAAAAAAAATCCACAAAAAAATCTATATGGATGTTTTTTCCATCTCAGTCTTGGAAGGGCTGAAAATAAGACACATGTTCAATAGCCGCACATTTTAATTATGTGTAATCCACAGTTATGCAAAAAGTATCCAACAACTAATCATTCAAAGAAAATTGGAGAGAGACTTTCCATGGTTGTCTTATTTATAATTCATAACACAAATATCAACAGATTTCATAAACAGATATCCTAAAATCCTATAATAGCCTGGTAGGAATACACAGTGGTGCCATTTGAGGAAAGAAGCACCTAGGGCAAGGTGTAATCTGCAGCACATGCAAGAGTATTAAAATTGCAAATATAACTCCTTGATAAAACTCTTCGGAAAAAAATATTTTTAATGCTTCTTTTGAAAAATATGCCCATTAGCTGAAATAAGTGAGAACTATTTTCTGAAATTGCAGAAATGTTCTTTTTGCCTTTTATCCCAATGAGGTCCCGAGTTTAACACTCGAAAAAACATCCATAAAAAAGTGTTTAATTTATTTCAGTTTATCAGGCACACGACCACATGCTCACAATCCATTTGTGCGCTTGCATGAGACAAAAACATTAATGAATGCATTTCCATTTTAGGGTTAACACTTATTTTAAGGAGAAGAGATTTTAATGAGAAGGCACCAGTCAAATACCAGTGTATATTTATTCTAGGTCTGACCACTACCTCTCCCTTCAATACCAAAATATATCTGAAAGACGTCACAACAGCCTTTCTCATTTAAAAACTGGTAGAGCTGCCCAAGGTCCATGTGATTACCTCTGTTCCCATGGGGGTCAAACATTGCCTCTTCAAAGCCTGTGAATTTGCGCAGGGAGTCTATACTTTCAACAGTCCTGCTGTCCTCACCCTGACGATCAAGGGGAATATCCTCTCTATGTCGAATCATGATCTTCTTCCATGTCAGAACCTTCACTCTGTGAAATGGGAAAAAGTTTGGAAAATAATAAACCTGGTACCTCAGCAGGCTTCTGGCTGTGACATCAGCTGCTAAAAATAACAACACTCAAGATACCTGGACCAGAACTCCTCGCAGGCAGATTGAGGACCTTCAACACACACAATACCAGGCTTCCCAGGCATGCTAAATCCTGACAGGCCCAGCTCTTTGGACCACTCCAAGATGTTCTTCCTTTTCGTCTTGTTGTAGATGTGGTGACTGTAAATCCACAGTCGGCTGAACACTTCTTGTGGCTGTAGAGAGGTAGACTCTTTCTTAGGAGCTGGTGCTGATAAGCTCTTATTAATGAAGAGCTGCAGGTTGTCTTTCACCCAGTCCACAGCGGAGAGCACACACACTTCCCCCTGGCAGTTTTCCATGAGGTATGCATTGAGATCTGCGTGGAGCTGTGTCTGCTGGGCCCTGCTTAGACCGGCACACCTAGGGCACAAATAAAACATACTGTAAGAAGGATTCAGAGAAGATTCAAGGTCTTTGCAACTGGAAGTTTCCATCCTTGAGAGCAAAAACTTGAAATGTAAATCTTGAATAAGCGAATTTGCACTACATAGCACAAATTAACAGATCTTCAGGAGGCTGATAGGCTTACTAATAAATATAAATGACTACTCCCAAGACAATATTTTCTAAAAGCAAATTACAAAGTGTTTTTATCTTTACTGCTGCTGCAGTATTTCGCATTATGATATCTTCCCATTTATGGAATTAATCATTATAATTGTTATAAACTAAGTCATTAAAGTTCTTCTTTTATATATGTGAAGAGTTTATCACCTTCACTGCACATCAAAAGTGGCAGTGCCTTACCGGACTGTTATCTCTGGTAACACGCTGGGATATTCAGATGGATAAGCACAGGACAGAATGACATCAACCTGAATGGTGAATCAAAATAATAAGAAAAAAAAACAGCAGATAATTATGTTTTAAGACATGTTTAAATCACAATAACAATACTAAGACAACCAGTGACTCGTTTACCCTCTCTGTGCTTGTGTCCAGCCTCTGTTTGATGAGAAACTGAGGTCTGGAAGGTGGAGGCCTGTCTGTTGAATCTAAGCACTCCACATAGTCCCTGAGCTCAGCTAGTGCCAGCTGGTCTGTCATCTCCAGCTCCTCCTGGGTGGGAAACATACTGGTCAGCAGCTCTATCTCTGCAAGCTGAGACTCTGCCCATTCCAAGTAAGACATGCTGGTAGAGGCAAAATATCTTCACTACTGTTATACATAAACCACCTCTATTTTTAAACAGCTTTCTGTTTTCACATCCAAAGAAAAGAAAGGGTACGCCACGTCATTATTTACAACTCAAATTACATGTTTCTTTACCGGCAACTAAAAACCTAAGTCGCTTCAAGCCTTTTCAAGCGTGTAAGATTATTAATTATCTTTAAATAAGCGATATACAAAATGAGGTGAACACGCAGGCTAGTTGAGCACCTGAACGTCAGTAGTAATGGTAGTGCTACTGTTCCCAGCTAGTATTCGGACTTTGTTTCAGCTCGGACGGGTTCAAGCGACGCACACAGGAAACACGCGTACCGGGCAGCAGCAACAGCGACACCACATTTTATTCTTCTGTTGTCTGTGTCAGCTGGGGGTTTTCTGCCAAATCAGCGGAGTGGTTTTTTTAGGTCAATTTGAAACTTTGTAGGACCATTTTCTGACCCAAAGTCTCTCCTTTCAGGGCTGTAAACAGTAAACCGGATCAGAGAACTAGATCCAGGAGGATTCAGCCACACAAAGTAAACGAAACTGAAAACTGTGAAGGTTTTAGGCTCCGTCTGTGACAGTAAGTTGACTGGCCATGATGATGATCATAGAGTTAAACGTCTCATTAGTTGTGTGCTTCTGGCACTGAATGTACTGGCACTAAATGGTGTTATTAACAGCATTATAATATAGCCTATTGTTGCTATTAGCCAAAGCTGACGGTACTCCAGATTACTGCTGTGTCTGATTTCCATTCATCTCTAACTATGCTTCATGTTAGGTGAAAATGGGAAAGAAAAGGGGGAAGGACAAGAGCTCCAGAGAGGAAGATGACATTGACCTGACAGGTAAAGAATATATCATCATCATCATGTCAAGGCCAAGGTTGACTGTACCATTAAGTGTTTTATATTTATTTGTTTTTGTCTTCATAGGTCCATCCTGCAGGCACATTAAAAAGGGAACAGACCAAACTCTTCTAAAGAAACTCTCCGGGAATTCTGATTGGACGAGTTGCCAGGATTGTAAGCATGAAGAAAATGAAGAAAATAAAGAAAATATCAGCGCTACCTTGCCTCAGGAGTCAGAAGAGGATCATGAAACAGCTGGCGTATGGATGTGCTTAAAATGCGGCCATAGAGTGAGTTCATTCAGTCCATTTATCATTCAGATTTTTACAGATGTGACTTTTTGAAGTGCTTTTTGCTTCTTGCGCGGCTTAATGACTGACTTTTCTATCAGGGATGTGGACGAAACTCTGAGAACCAGCATGCTATCAAACATTATGAGACTCCTCGGTCGGATCCACATTGCCTGGTGATCAGCTTGGACAGCTGGAGTGTGTGGTGAGCATGTTGCTGTGGTGTGTTAATCAGGGAGGCATAAGTTATGTTTGAAATAAGAAGTACTTGTTCCATTTATCATTCGTTGCCAAACTTGTAGGTGTTACATATGTGATGATGAAGTCCAGTACTCCAGAACTGGACATTTGGCTCAGTTGGTGACCAACCTAAAAAAACAACCCTCTGCAGATCCCATAAAAAGACCACAAAAAAGTAAGTCCCATTGGAAAGTTTGCATCCCTGTTTTCTTTTCTTTTTTCTGGTGGTACAATAATTGTATTATGGGATTTACTTGTCTCTATAACCATGTCCACCATGATGTTGTATTTGGTTATTTAGGAGTGAAAGAGGAAGACAGTTTGTTGGATGTTGAGCAGAAGACAGAAACTGTAAAAGCAGAGGAAACTGAGGACAAGGAAAACAAAGAAAATATAGGCCGCCAAAAGAAAAACACCAAGAAGGATAGTGTTGGGAAATCACAAAAGTCTGGTGCATCTGAAGAAAGTGGTGGTGTTTCAGTAAAGGGGCTGAGCAACCTGGGAAACACATGCTTCTTTAATGCAGTCATTCAGGTAAGATTGTGCTTTATAAGATTCTAGTCTTGAGTTAAAATGAGAGAGGTCTTAAATTTTAGAGTTATTATTAATTGCTTTGGTTGTCTTTTCTAGAATCTCTCTCAAACACAGCTATTAAGACAGACTCTCAACAAAGTGACAGAAGAGAAAATGAGCCTTAACATTGAACCTGTTGCCTCCTCGGATCTGGTGAGTTACCATTATTCTTTAAGTGTTTGTTTTTAACTATGAAGAAAATAGATGTATCCTGCCTAATATACACTGTTTATTTGAAGACTTGTTTTTATGATTGCAGGAGCCTATTGGAGTGCAGTTAGATCAGCCCGGATCCCTGACATTGGCTATGTGTCAACTATTAAATGAGATCCAGGAATCTAAGAAGAGTGTGGTAACACCACGGGAGTTGTTCACACAAGTTTGTAAAAAGTGAGTGTGACTACAAGTTTAGGCATCCTTGAGTTGTGCTTCAAATCTACTGCCTCGCATCACTGCATTAAAATTATTTCATTGTCTTGTCTCCTTTCTGCAGGGCTGCCCGGTTCAAAGGGTTTCAGCAGCAGGATAGCCAAGAGCTGCTGCGCTACCTTCTGGATGGGATGCGAGCTGAGGAGATCAAAGTATGCATTTAGTTTTAAACAAATCTCACTACATATATCAACTTGGTTAAAGATTTACAGTTGAAATGGGCACTGTAGCTGTGCGTTTTTACTCTCATTTAATGACCTCAGAGATTTTGCTTTGACAGAAAGCTACTCCGATAGGTTGGGTAATTTTCACAGAGCAGAGGTGAAATTATTGAGATTCTTTGAAAATGTTGTACATCTTATTGTGCAATATCTTCTTATGGTTTATCAAAAGCTTATTTTCATCATTTACATTTAAAGATTGTTTTTGTCTCTACAGAGAGTAAGCTCGGGCATCATGGAAGCATTGAAAGAATCTGGAAAAGGCACAGATGGAGAGCAGCTTAAATCACTTGTTAAAGGTAAGTAACTGGGCTAAAAATTGAATATCGTTTTAGCTAGTGTCATGTGAGCAAGAAAAGGGTGCATCTTGCTATAGTATACAATATTGGCACGTCTAATAATTAAATGTGGCCCTCTGACAATGAAGTTCTGATTTCAGAGTACGAGAAAAATGGATTTCCCAAAAACTTTGTTGACCACGTTTTTGGTGGGGAAATGACCAGCACTATAATGTGTCAGCAGTGTAAAACGGTATGTATTGTGGACGAAAATCTACGTTAACTGTCTGTGTCCTGTCAATGTCGAGCTAAATGGCCACTACTTTGCACTTACAGGTGTCTGTAGTCACAGAGATGTTTTTGGATCTCTCCCTTCCTGTTTCTGATGAGGTGAGGTTATGAGTGTTTTTTGACAATTTGTTGGGCAATTATTTGTTCATTTTTGTTTAGTGTTACATGCATGTGCTCTTTTCTGACCACATCTTACAGGCATATAGAAAGAAGAACCAGAAAAACGTTCAAAACACCAGTGAGTCAAGCCAGGATGACAGGAACAGCCCTGCTTTGACCAATGGAAATGATGACATTCCCAGCAGCAAGTACCAGCAAAAGAAAGCGAAGAAGCAGGCGAAGAAGCAAGCAAAGGTACCTCACTGAATGTATATAGAGGAAGTTTTTTTCTTTTGCTTTAATTCATCTTTTTGATGGATGGGTGTTTATTCATTGTACAGAATAAACTGAATTGTCTGTATTGTTTCTTTGTCTTGGCCTACAGCATCAAAAGAGACAGCAGAAGCATGAGAGCAGAGTCACTTTGGACAGTCTCACATCTTCAAGCCACACAGAGGGGGAACAGACAGATCCTATTACAGATGCAGAGGATGGAGAAAATGCTCACAATCAAACACATGAAGAAGCCCCGCTGAGTGAAGAAAATCCTGTCTCTGAACAGGACCAGAAAAACCATGACATGATCCAGGACGAAAAGGAAAATGAAGAGGACGAGGATTCATTGATTGACTGCGACTCATCAGCTGCGTCATCGGTCAGCAATCGTTTTACTGTCTTATCAGAGGAGCAACACTCAAAGGACAGCATCATAGACGATGAAAAAACATCTGACATGGATCAGGAAGGAGAAGAAGATTCACCGCTGGTGAATGAAATGGAGAAAGTAACCCTGGAAGATACCTTCATAGAAGACTCAGATTCTGTGGAACAAATCATGGAGACTGAAGATGAGCCACTGGAGGCTAAAGAGTACACGGTAGTAAATCAGGACCCAGAGCTGGCTTTCCAGACCCTGGCTACCAGGACGACCCCTGAGAAACAGGAGTGTTCAGTGCAGTCGTGCCTTTTTCAGTTCACAGAAGTGGAGACCCTCACGCAGAACAACAGCCTGCTTTGTGTCACATGCACTAAACGGCAGCCGAACAAAGATAAAACTGGAGGTATGTGTGCTTCCTCTCCATAATAATATTTGACCTATTGTTGAGGTGCTTTTGTTCTTGATATAAAAAAAAACAGTTATTGTGGATTTTGTCCAGTACAATATCACAAATGCAGTAATTCTAACAAGACAAGAAGCCAATTAAATCGTAATTGCTCTTTTTTTTTTAAGAAACTCTCTTCTGTTTGGGGATCAGTTCAGTTCATCTTTATTTGTGTTTTGTTTAGGCTCCAAGAAGAATATTTACACTGATGCCTTTAAGCAAATGCTGATCTCCTCTCCCCCACCAGTCCTAACCCTTCATTTGAAGAGATTTCAACAGGTAAGTCAGTTAAAGAAATTGCTTTTTTTTTTTTACACTTATTGATCCAGTTTTTTTTTATTAATCTGTGAACCAAATATTTGACTATATATAGACATTATCATTTTTGTTGTGTTTTGTAAGGCACTGAAACACTTCCTTTTATGCAATTTTAAATGAGCTCACTTTTGTTGTTTTCCTCTAGAATGGATACAGTATTTGTAAGGTCAACAGACATGTCCAATTCCCTCTGATACTGGATCTAGCTCCCTTTTGTGGGGTTAAGTGTAAGGTAAATGTTGAGAATAACAGCTTTTATTAAATATCATTACTCTTTGTACATGTATCATTGTTTTATTATAATCTTGTTTCCGAACAGAATGTGACTGAGGGAGATACTCAGATTTTGTACAGTCTGTACGGTATCGTAGAGCACAGTGGAACAATGAGGTCAGGTCATTACACAGCCTATGTGAAAGTACGACCTGAGTACCCTAAACCCTCATCCAACGGACTTGCAGCAGAAGGTAGGTGAACTCAGGTGTGACAATCAATAGAATAATAACTTGGTCCTAATATTTTAAGTGTCTCCACTAACTCATCACTTCTGTTCAGGAGATGCACAACCACCCAGAGGATCCTGGTTCCATATCAGCGACACAAGCGTTCAGCCTGTGAGCGAGAGTAAAGTCCAGGGTTGCCAAGCCTACCTCCTCTTCTATGAAAGAATCGTCTAATCAAACAATGCGTCACTACTCAGGAAATCCAAACAAACCAAACTGCTGCTTCAGCTCCACAGTATACGGGATCTTAAACAGTTGACCAACCATGGCCTGTTTTGTCAGGGACTTAAACTGGGCTGTGATGAAATGATATTAATTATACAGAAAGGACATTCGCCAACCTTGACTTTTTCCATCACAGAGATGTCGAACAATGTTTCAAGTAATAAACAGTACAGCTGTATGTTTTCAAACTCATGGGAATATGACAAGGTGTGCAATGAAAGTCTAGATGGACATTGAACAGATTGTGGTATTGGATTTGTACACATAACAAAAAATGGATTTCAGGATGAATTAAAGATGGGGAAGAGTAATTTGTACAAAATATTTATATGTCTATTTTTTTTTTTATCAATGTCATGTAATGAAATGCAAAATAAGAGAAGTTTTTCCTGTCTTGTGTGGTGGCTTTCTTGCACTGAGCATGCGCAGTAAGTGCTAACAGCTTATGGTCTGAATTGTCACATGACAAGAGGAAAGTCTGGCTCCGGATGGCCAGAGTCGTCTCTACCCAAAAATTACTAATGGCAGTGTTATCAAGCTGACATGGCAGGTCAGTGAACATTGGGCCTTTTTTAATGCATATTAAAAAGTGAAGTTACTGTTTCTGAAGGTTTTACTTTTTAGTTTTTGTTTGGTGTTCGCTCGGTACAAGTTAACGTTGTGGTCATTGACAGTAAGATTACAGCTAACGGCGTGGCCTAGCTCAAAGCCTCTCCGTTTGGATAACATTTTCGATCATTACATTAATATCCTGATAAAACTGTCGTCAGTCGTTATACATGTAAAACGTCGTAGTGCTAACTATATTTTTCGTTGCGCCTCTACAGGCCCACTCGGGTGACTTTGCTAAACATGATTCAGCATTTTAAACTTGCTGTCCATGTTTAAGAGTTACAATCCTGTCTGCAGCAACGTTAACTTATTGGTCCTCTAACTGGTAGCTAGATAGTTAATTAAAATAAATAATAATAAAACTCCCCTTTTGTATGTTTTGAAGAACCATCTAAGATGATGTGTTTGAAAAGTATCAGTAGGAAAATGTGCGTATATGATTGTGTAACATAGCATTGCCTCATTACACCCCCTGCAAATAAGGAGTACATTATCAATTCAATTGATTAAATGATTTATATAAATAGGTTACTCAAATATCAATTACTCATTTCATCTATAAGATATGCAAACAATTCCCATCTCAAGTCCAAGGTATTCAAATGTTTTGTTTCATTCTGCCCACTGTCCAAAACTCGATAGAGGAGGAAAGAAAACATTCAAGAAGCAAGAACCCATGAATTTGTCCTTTAAAAATTGGGTATTATTCAATTATTAATCAAAATCGTTGCCAGTTACTTTTCTGTCAATAGACTGATTGAACAATGATCACTGATCCACACTGTCTGCTATTTCAATAAACAGTGTATTGTGATTATGATGCTTTTTTGACTTTTTCCCTCTGTCACACAGGCTGAGCTTGTAAGAACCATGTCGCTCCAAGCTCCTCGCATGTCAGTGTTCACATTTCAGTCTGCAGTGCACAGCGCCCATGTTCTTCAGTGCCTGAATGACCAGAGGCAGCGGGATGTCCTGTGCGATGTGACGGTGGTGGTGGAAAACAGGAGTTTTCGGGCTCACTGCTCTGTCTTGGCTTCCTGCAGTGAATACTTTCACAGCAGGGTTACCAGTGTCACCAGACATAATCCCATCATCACCTTGCCTGATGAGGTTAGTGTCCCTGCTGCTTAGCTGAAGGATTTCAGAAAAAAAATGACACTGCAAAGTATTTGGTCTGTTTATGAATGTATTATTAGCTGTAATTTTATTACTAATAAAATAGTTACAGTAAGAACATGTTCAAATAAAATAGACTGATACTGAATGTGCTACTGCTGAACTACACTATTTAGAGCTTTGTTAATTTTAGATGGATGTGTTAGTACCAATGGTTAGTACCCACTGAGCTTTATATGCAATGTCATTACTATAGGATAGTTAAACAGCAGTTTTATGCAACTAAAAGTTATACATTTCAGGACTTCAGCTGGTCACCTTTCTAGTATGGCCATATTGTAGTAGTTTATAGCTGTGCTAGTTCTGTTGTGCCTCAACAATTTGCTGTTTGTCCTTGCCCCACAGGTGACCGTTGAGGGGTTTGAACCTTTGCTTCAGTTTGCCTATACATCAAAGCTGCCCTTCACCAAAGAAAACATCCATGCCATTCACAGCAGTGCTGAGTTTTTGGGATTTCATAACTTGGAATCAGCATGCTTTGATTTCCTCATCCCAAAGTTTTCTGAAGGCAAAAGAACCTCACAGGAGGTCAAGCGTAGAGCCTGTTGTCAGAGCCGTGATGCCAGTGCCAGCTTTGGCTCCAGTGTAGGGAGCAGCCAACCAAAATCATTTGAGTCACACAGCTCAGTGCCTTCAACAGGTGATGAACGAACAGACTTCCCATCACAGTGTCCTCAGAGTGCACAGGGTCAGTCGAACAGTGGGGAAGAACACTTCTGTTTGGAGAACTGTGGGCCACAAATGGCCCCCTTATCTCTGGAGTTAACGGCAAATGGTGTGTGCCCCATGTTGTCTTTGCCATGCCCAGACTCTGACAGAGTAGATAATTCCTCTCAATTCTGTGAAAGGGACATTTTAGAGATAGGAGATGTGTGTAATCAGAGTGAGTTGAGTTTGGCAGACTGTGGCTTACCATGTGAGCTGTCAACCCCAGGGGATGTGAATCCGCCAGAACTCATTGAGCCAGAAGGCAGCAATGTTAAACAGACTGTTGAGACGCTTGGTGCTGAAACCAACTGTAACCCTGGTTCATGTCCACTCAACACATCAGGGGCGGAAGATTGCCGTAAATTATTAGAGCAAAGTGAGGCTGGCCTTGAACAGAGGATGGCAGGTGATCTCTCAGACCCTACACTTACTGCTCTAAGCCATGAAGAGGGATTTGGGGAGAGGAGCAGCGTAGAGAGAGAGGTGGCTGAACATCTGGCGAAGGGATTTTGGTCTGACCTATGTCCATCTCATGCTCAACCACTCCCCCTGGATCCCATGGACCAAAACAATCTGGCAAAAGCATCAGACTTTCATTGGCTTAAGCAGCTGGACCTGACCTCCAGTGTAGGAGACTGTCCCTTCCTCAAGGAACTGGAGACAGGTGATGACCCAGCTCCACGCACTGACAGCCTGTCCCAGTCAGAGAAGAGCCCCTACATGTCTTCCTCGCTCAACTCTGGGGATGACTCAGACCTGGACACAGATGGAGATACTGAGGCCAACAACAAAAGAGCAGCAGAGGTCACTGTGTTACACAGCTGATGTTGATTTTCTAATGATTATTAATAGCTGAAAATAGAAAAAAAGTAAATCGTAAGTAAAATAAATAACCCTGTTTTCTACAGATTCAGCTCCCATTCCCAGTGGAGCAGATCTCAGCACTGAGCCGGAGTGCCTTCCAGCAGCTTTTGAGACACCATAACCTCACCCAGGATCAGCTGGAGTTTGTCCATGACGTCCGTCGACGAAGTAAAAACCGTGTCGCAGCTCAGCGCTGCCGAAAGAGGAAACTAGACAGCATACACCAGCTAGAATGTGAAATCAAAAGATTAGTAAGTTGCCCTTACTATGTCTGCTATTCTCAACATGTTGTCAAACATGATGTGATTGAATTTAGTATTTTTCCTGAGCTATAACTACTGTGTGAGCTTTTTTGACCTCTAGTGGTGAACAGTGTAAACTGCAGCAATGTGAATAGAAGTACTTTTGCTATCCTAAACAAGTTTGGCACAGCCCCAACCAAACCTTCACCTGTCCATTTGACATAACAAAGGTGTTATTTTTGCACTGGAAGTCTGCTTTATATTTTGTGGTATAAAAACAAAGCTAAGAAAGCTTTTTAGCATTGTTATATTAATACATGCTTGTATTTACCACAGCCTTCTGTTGTGGTAAATACAAGTGTTTGGAAATGTACATAGAATGGAGGAGAGCAAAATCACAGCGCAGCTAATCAGAAAGGTTATTTCAGATGATGAGATTTTCACCTACTAACCACTTTATTCAAAAGTTCTGATGCATTTGAATGAGCTTTACTGTAATTCTATGTACAGAAAGGTGAGAAAGAGCGGCTGCTGCAGGAGCGAACTGAGCTGGAACAAAACCTGGAAGAGACGCGACAGAGTCTGTGCGGTTTATGTAAGAGCATCAGCATCGAGTCTGGTTCTGATGAGGACCACTTGCAGCTTCTTGCTAAGCTCTCCTCACCAGACTTACCTATTTCGTCACCTAACCATGTGGGTAAAGATGAGGAGTCCCAGATTAATATTGAAATGGTAAGTTGCTCCTCAGATTGTGACCCAAGCACTCTGCCGGCAGGCTCAGTTCAAACTGCTGCACCAGAGGCCAGCACACAGACAGAGGAGGCAGGCTCTCCACAGAGCTGCCCTGATCCTGCATCTCTGCTCAACTCCTGTCTGGACATTAACAATATACTGTAATCCCATTTTGGGATAGATATGCTTTCCTGTGTATTTCACTGAATGATTTTCTGCCTGATATCAGTATCTTAAAGTGACATAGATAAATGTCAGATTTCCTTCACTGTATTTCTAATATGCATTTTACTGTAGTAAACACAGATTCCAGTATTAATCGTTTTGAAAGTGCAGACAATTTTCAGGTAATTTTCAATTCCATTTGTACATTAGGAGGACGTTTCGTAAAATGAAGTTTGTTTTTCTCAGGGAAACTCATAACCCGATTGTCTTTTATGGCTAAAATAATTCTTGCTGCACACCCACCTAACTCTCCTCCTTTATGCACACATATTCTCACAGTTATAAAAAAAAACATTTATTTCTTTTTAGACAAATTTGTCTATCATTATAATCTTGACACATACTGTATTATTCCTCCACTATGCTGTTTCTTTTGTTAAATATGCACAGCACTAACAGACCTTTCTACAGTAGATTACGAGGAATTGTTATGGCTAACTTAAATTCTCAACAGCATTATTTGAATGCCAGTGGATAGTTTGAATGAAAGTTTGAGGAATGGTTTCAGTGTGAATGAGTGTGTTACAAGGGAACATAAGAAATTATGTTATTTGATGCAAAATGTGCCTTATGCAGTAGTATAGTATGAACAGAACGAAAGGCAACCTTTATATATTCTTGTCTCAAGCACTGTTGCACATTAACCCAGACCCCATATTAATGGCATTATCTTACATTTAGGTCTGTCTTCATGTTAAGTATTTTTTGTTAAATGCTTTCTTGGATTACATGTTTAAATAAACACCATTTTGTTACCATTCAGTGTTTTATTTGAATATTACCTCCTCTATTGATGCACAGTCCCACAGTTTGGCCAGTAGATGGAAGTACAAC